GACACTATTTACCTGGAAATGGTATTAGACCCCACAGATTAGAAAGTCTCAATCTCCCAACACTGCCCTTTATTTCAGCCATTAGAGATAAACCCAGTCTGTTACCTGTGCTTCTGACCACCTTGCTACAGACTGGAGGTTCTCACAACCTTCTCTCCAGACCTCAGGTGCTTATCATAAGCCCAGATTATGACCTGTGCTAATGACTGACGGGCTGTAAATCAGAGATTCCTGTGATCCCTTTCTCAGATTGATTAATTTGTTAGAGTGGCTCACAGAACTCAGTTCACTTGCAAAAGCACCAGTTTCTTATAAATGATACTACAGGAAAGGAATCAATGGCCAGATGAAGTGTTATGTAGGACAAGGTCCTAGACAAAGGAACTTCTGTCTTTGTGGAACTTATGGTCCAGCATAGTGGTATGTGGAAGAACTCTGGTTCTCTCCCTCCTTTTGGGGTCTTAAGGAGGCTTAGTTACATGGGAATGATCAATTAACTCATTGGCTCCTGGTGAGTGAATCAACCATTAGCTTTCCTGCCTTTCCCAGAAATCAGGGAGCAGGATTGAAAGATCCACTTTCTGTTCCTGATTGTTTCATAATTGATGAGAACAATAGGTTTCCTGATATTCTTTATCCTACAAGTGGGTCTAATGTTAACTTTTAAATTCATGAATACCTGGGAATGGGTGCTGATTGCCAAAGAAACCATTTGGTTTTCATAAGATATGATTATTATGTCCATCTTACAGGGGAAAACAAAGACATGCAAGAGGTTAAGTGACTCTCCCAAGTCACTCAGCTGGTAAGTGACAGAGCAGAGATTTGGCTTTCAGTGTGTGACAGGTATTGATTCTGGGGAAATGTTTGCTGTGTTTCTGTTCATTTTCATAGATATTCTCCAGGTGGCTGGTGTGCACTGGGACCATAATGGCTCATATAACTTGATGTGACTGCCTGTCCACATCAAGTTCATTGTCTGCCCTGAAAGGAATTGTGAACAATTCAATAAAGACATCCGGAGGTTCTCACACTGCAGACCTACATTCCAGTTGGCCAGATCTGAGCACTTACAATAATGTTGGAGGTGGCAGGGTCATGACCCTCAGACCCCATACCTTGAAAATGATTTGGCATCTTCTGAGGGTCTGTTCACTGATTGGTGAGCTCTCATCCAGTCCTCTTCCAGCTAAACCTATGTTGACATCGCAGGGTGCCCTGGACTAGTGCAAGTTGCAAGTGCCCAGAAATAAATAGCCCAGGAAAGGCTGCAATAGGAAGGGAGCCAGCATTGCAGTGTGGTCAGGGAGGCAGTATTTAAATTAAGTCAGAGACTATGACCTGAATTTTCCCAGCTGACAAGGAAGTAGGGCCGGAGTGATGAGGAAGGCATTCTGGGTAGATGGCACAACACCCAGCCTTTGTGTCATGCAAAGAAGTTTGACCCTTCTCATGGAATCAATGAGGAACTACTGCATTGTTGAGAATAGGAAAGTTATATAATTCAATTTGCATTTTAGAAAGATACCTCTGGCAGCTATTTGGTAGGTTGATTAGAGAGATATTATCCTAGAGGCCAGGAAATAAGCAAAACCAAGCTATTAACAGTTGGCATTTAGTAGAAGGAATGGACTTAAATATTCAAGAGGCATCACGCACTAGATGTGTCCACCAATGTTGTACATGGCTACTTTTATCCTGATACTCATCTTCTTTGCTAATGTTTATCTGGTATATGGCTAGAGACTACATATCCCAGCCTTCCCTACATCTGGCCAACTTATGAGCAGAAGTGTGTGGTGTTCTTTAACAAGAAAATACTTATGCTTCACACTCACCCATTTTCAACAGATGAGATTCAGTTGTGATGGTGGCCACAATGGACCCAGAGATGGAAGCTACCTGTTTAGGAAGCAGGAATGCCCTTACAGTCCTAGGGGATCTATTTTGGGGATATTACTTAAGTCATTCCATTTTGGGGATTCTGGTCTAACAGCTTGAACTATATTCTACCTGTTGGCCACCTTTGGGCTATGAGAAATGAGGGAGTGAGAAGATCCTGGGTGGGTGGCAGTACTGTTCACTAGGCCAAGACATTGAGAAAAGGGGTAGGCCTAGGGTAGGGTGGAAGAGGATTTACTTTTGAATATGTTTAGTATGAGGCATCTGTAAATAGTGGTATATAGTAATTGTTTAACCACCAGCTCTTTGGGGCAGGGGAGCCCCGTTCTAAAGCATTTGCCAGTTTCCATGGTGTAAATACTCCCACTGTGCTGATTCCAAGTTATTATCAACATGACTTCACTGAATAAGGACTTGGGGAGAGAATACAGTAGGCTCTTGAGCTAGTCTGAGCTGGCACAACCAACTCCACATGAGCATCCAGATGGAGATTTTCAGCCTGTACTTGGCTATAGACCAAGTCTGTACATGGGGAAAGACATATGAACTGGCGATAGGGACTTGAGTGTTATGAGCAATTAGGGGGTAAAGTCATGGATGAAGTCATCCATGAATAATATGGAAAGTGAGAAGAGGCTGAAGCCAGGATCCTGGAAAAAAATCAGCATATACAGATGCCTGAGAAGGAAGAGAAAGCTAAGGAAAAATCTGAGGAACTGTGGAGGAAGGAGGAAGTAGCTCATGACCCATCATCAGAACCAAGTTCTCCACATATGCTTCAGGGTTTCTGCCTTCTCAGACAAACAGGTCAGCCTCTAACGTTACCTCTTTCCACCTGCGTTTCCCATTATCATCAAAACAAGCTCCATAGTTCTCACCAAAATCCAAATATCTTGATGCCACATTCTCCCACTGCTGCCCTACCTTTTCACATCTTTTCCAAGCCAAGATTCCCCAGTTCAGTCTGTCTTCATCTCTTTGTACCATTCAACATATAACCTTTTGGAACACTCTTTTCTTATGAGTTCCAGAACTCTACATTCTCCTAATTTTCTCCTTAGCTCTCTGGCTTCCCTATTGGCAGCTTGTTCTCCTCTGCCTGACCTTTAAATGTTGGAGTTCCTCAAGGCTTGGTCTTAGGCCATCTTGTCTTTTCCCCAAACCTTTTTATGACTTCAACTGCTCTAAAATGCCACTCACTCTCAAGGCTCTGTTCCAACCCAAACTCTTCTGCTAAGCTCCAGACCTGCCTCTCTTCTTGCCTACTGAATGTTCTTCATTGCATCTCTCCTAGGCATCTCAATCTAATACATTCCAATTTAAAACTTTTGCTCTTCCTTTCCAAAAGTGTCTCCTCCCAACTTGCTCTCAGTAGATGGTACTTCCAGGCCACCAGCACTAATTATCATTTCAGTAACCATCTCTCATCTTTCCCCTCTGTAAACTGGAACCCCCCTACAGACAGCAGAAGGTGCACATGTTCAGTGCCTAGCACAATGCCTGATACGATACTATCACTCATATTTGTTGAATGAGTTAAAACAGGGAAGCAGAGTAGCACAGAAATCTGAGTGAGAGGAAGCGGTTTAATAGATGCTCTATAGGGATTACACAACTGGCAGCTTGTAGTTTGGGGCTGCTAGTGTTCTCAGTGATTTTAGGGAAGTCACTTTGTCCATCTGAAGAATGAGATGCAATTGAGGTACATTATTAAATTTCCTTCCAAGTTCTGTCTACTGCTAATATATTATTAACTTGGTAATGGCGCATAAATGGAATTTGTTCATAACGAACAATGACTTTTTAATTTTTTAAAATCTGCTTTGAAAACCGTAATACTGGTTTTAATAGGCTAAATGAAAGGTGCATTTGGATCCTTTTACTTTTTTTTTTTTTTAAAGATTTATTTATTTTATTCATACAGACCTGGGGGATAAACCAGAGGTGCAGGGGCGGTGAGAGGATTCACCAGAGACAGAGCGGAGAGCAGAACAGATTGACGAAGTACACTGCTGAGGGGAGCAGTGGGTGAGTCAGGAGAGGTCTGCCGCATTGCATGGATCACCTCCAGGGCAGGAATCGAACTCACACAGAGGTGGCTGCAGCCAGCTTGCAGTGCTGAGTTCTAACCCATTGTGCCACCAGGGAGGGCCCTGAATCCTTTCACTTTTATTCCACGAAGACTCAAGGAAAGGTATTCATTGACTTGAACTTTCCAAAACCTCCTCTCAATCAATGGGGCTCTCATAACAATCTAGGGCAGGGCAGGTAGCCATCCTGCAGGGCAGGTAGCCATCTACTCTTCTCATTTTAGATGTGGAAACTGATGCCTACACTTTGCAGGGATAGTTTTGGCAGGCTTCAGCAATAGGACAATATTGATAGCACCACACAGTAAAGTTGCTAAAGCTGCCTTGGTTCATATCTCAACTTGGCAGCCCTAGGAATCTGTTTCCATTACTATAAAACGGGACAATGCTGATACTTCTTAGTTTTGTCGTGAGGACAAGTATGGTATTCAAATAAGAATTATCACAATGTCACGAGGCCCTGAAGAAAAGTATATAGAAGCCCACTGGGCAACACAGAATAACGCCCGGAAAGGCCCCTTCTCACGGCATTCCTCAGGGGCGTAGGTGCCCCCCCAACCTCCCCTGGATTTTACAATCACTACTAGCTCTCTGCCTCTAGGAAGCCGCCCAGTCCAGAGCGGGTCCTGATCTCCCTGGTCCCGCCCTAGAAGGGGCGTGGTCTCAGGGTGGAGGCGTGACCAAACCGAGAACTAGGGCGTCGAGCTCTCCTTCCCCGTCTGGAGCCGCCCAATCTGGGAGGGTAGGTCACGTGACCAGCAAGCCCTTTTCCCCTCCCCGCCCCTGTGCCGGTACCACCTCTGCCGGTCCCGGGGGGTGATGTCTTGCTCCTCTCCGGGAGCCAAAACACTTGTTTTGATCTTTTTTGCTTCGGAATTGTGTGGGGTAATATTTTTGGGTGACGGAGTCAAGTCTTTGCCCCTCAACTGGCATTCCCTTCCGGATGCCCCCCCCCGTAGTTGGTCTAGCCCAGCCGGGCCCTGGGCGCGGCGGTGAGGGCCGCGTCACTGGCGGGCGGGATCCCTCCGCTCTAGGGAGAGCTGCGCTGGACGGTTGAGTTGGGGTGACTGAGGAATCCATCCGCGTCGCCGCCGCCGCCGCCGCTGCCGCCTCCGCCGCGGAGGAAGACAGAACCTCCCGCGCTCTCCTAGCGACCCTTCGCAGAGTCCCACCGCCACAGGTACCTCCGCTGACAAAAGGAGTCCTCAGACCCCCGGCCCCAAATTCCCATGGGGGGGACCTCTCTTCCTTCTGTCTCTCCGGTCTGGCCTCCTGAGAGCGGACGTAACTCCCCAAACCTCCCCTCCCTTCCTCTGGTCCCGTCGCTCCCAAACCCGGAAGGGGAGTTGGGGGACCCTCGCCTTCAAATATGCACGCGCTCCTGCACCATTAGGGTCATTATCTCGACCCCAGAACCCCGTCTCAGTCTCGCCTGCCTCCTCTTCCCTGAGAAGTTGGGAGGCCAAATTCGGGGCTTCCTCTAGGCCCCGTCCCGCCCCCTTTCCCCACCACGGCCACCGGCCTGCCCCTGGGGTAGCACCCCTTGCGCCCTCCCAGTCCCCACCTCCGCTGGCATTCTCCTTGTAGAGCTCCAGAACCCACAGAGAGGCAGGCGAGGCCGTGAGGCCACCCTTCCCTTCGTCTCCACCCTACTCCCGATTTGGGTGCTCTCCGTGTTTGCTGATCCCATTACCCTAGACCTGAGATGTCGGCACCCTATTCGCTTTATTAGTCCAAACCCCAAGCCTAGCACCCGGGCGCCCCCACTCCCCACCTAGCTCCATTTCGGAAGCTAGGAAAATGGAGGTTGGGGTGGGGGGGCCGGAGGCCCAGGCCCACTGCGCTTCGCTGAACGGCACCGGCCAGCGCCTTCCAGCTGCCAGATCGGGACCCTCCCTAGCGCCCTCCCATTATCCCTACCAGACCTGCGGAGGCGTTGGCACCCCTGTCCTCTGTCCTCCATGGGCCCTGGCTGCTGTATGCCCAGGATCGGGGGCTGCTGAGCGACCCTGGAGGTGATGGGGACTGAGGGCTGCAAGTGTCGCCCCTGCCGCCAGCTGCTTCCTACTGGCCTGCTTCCTTCTGCCCCGGGCCTCTAGCGTTACCGCCCTGCTCCGGCTGCTGGGGCTTTGTCCTGAGCCAGAGTGTAGAGTAGAAGGCTGAGGCCCCCCTTCCCCCCATTTTTTAGAGGGGCTTCCCCTGGCGCTGGCGTAGAAAGCTGAACTTAACCAAGGGGAAATGTCAGTGGGGAAGAGGAACGCCCAGGGCCTGGGGGAAGTGTGATCTGGTGGGGGATGCCCGGGTTGGCGGAGTGCAGTGTGCTTCGCCAGATCACACAGGTGTCCAAGAAGGGGGGCAGAACTCGGACCCTGGAGCGGAGCCAGCTAGGCCCCTGGGGCCCCGCTGTCAGGCCGGAGGGCCGGGTTCCTGAGGGATGCCAAGGGCATAGGGGCCAGGCCGCCGATGCCTGGGAGAGAGCAACCCGCGCCTCGGGGCTGGGGCCCTCTCTTCGGAATCCTAATTACTCGAGAGCTGCTCCCAAGGGCTTTCTGGCGCACCGGGGCGGGCAGCCTTGGCGCTGGAGGGAGCAGCGGCTTGGGGTTGCCTTTCTCACCACCCTCGCCTCCACCCGCCTCCGGCGGCTAATGGGGCGCAGCCGGCCTGGGATTATCCGGGGTGAGCTGTCCCAAACCTATTAGAGCCCAATCGGCTTTCTCCAAATCCTGTAAACAGCCACCAAGGCCGGTTCTGGGGAGGGGTGTGAGACTGGGTCAGGCGGGGGTGATGGGGCCGGGGGTGGGGTCACCCACCCTACAGGTCTCTGCCTTGGATGCGGTTGCCTGGGCAACGGGGCTAGGGTGGGGGCACTTCACCAATGAGGTGCTCTCAGTCCGGGTGACGGTTGCCTAGGCAACCCCACGAACAGCCAGCTTCCCTCTGGCTTCCCCCCACTCCCTGTCGAAGCTGGGGGTGTGTATGGAGGGTGTGCGTTGTGTGGGGGTGAGTTTAAAGAGGCACCGCCCCTTTTAAAATTAGGTGCTTGGAGGGCGGTGCCTATGCGGGCCGGGCGGACGCTGGGTCTGTTTTCATAGGGCCTCTCCCCGCCCCCCCTTCCCCACCCCCAGTTCCTGCCGCTGGTGTCCCGCCCGAGCTGCCCGAGCTGCTGTCCGAGGGAGGGGTTTCCCCTGCGTTTCCTCTTGCACTTCCCGCTGTTTCCGGGGGGCGGGAGGAAGATTGGGGAAGTCAGTTATTCCTCCGCAACATCTCTCTGGTGCCAGAGACCCCGGTTCTGCCCGGAGGACCGCAGCCGCCGCTGCTGCCCCTTCCCCCTCCCACCGGTGCTTACCCCTTCCGGGCCGCGCTACAACCCCGCCTTTCTCCCTTCTTCCCCGGTGGCCTTGGGCCTGACGTCAGTCCTGCATCCCCCAGGCCTCGGGCCAGCGGCGAGGAGCTGCCTCCCCCAGCCCCCGTCCCGCGGCCCCCAGCCGCCCCCAACCCCGCCCCACGGGCCCGGCGCCATGAGTGAGCTGGAGCAACTGAGACAGGAGGCAGAGCAGCTCCGGAACCAGATCCGGGTGAGGGCCTGACTGCTTGGGCTGGGAAGGCTGAGCGGGCAGGGCCAGGTGGCTTTTGTACCCTGGGCCCGGAGAGGGTTTTTGCGGGTGGGGGAGGGGATCCCTAATCTCTGTTTCGTTTTCTCATTCTTCCTTTTCGCCTATTTCTCCTTTCTTCTCTTGCCCTCTAATTGGTTGCCCCATTTGTTACAGGATGCCCGAAAAGCATGTGGGGATTCTACACTGACCCAGGTGAGGTGAATCTGCTGCTGGACTTGGGGTTTGGGGAAGGAGTAAGGGTTTGAGACATGCTGCTTGGTTGGCAGTGCCTGAACCCTCCCTGGGCCCATTCTGCCTCCACCTCCAGATCACAGCTGGGCTGGACCCAGTTGGGAGAATCCAGATGAGGACACGGCGGACCCTCCGTGGGCACCTGGCAAAAATCTATGCCATGCACTGGGGGACAGACTCAAGGTGTGTGTGTGCTTGGGGGGGGGTGGGGGGATCGGACTGTCTCCCTGTGAGCTGATTTTATAGCAAAGGGGGGCACCTTTGCAGATGTGGTGGGGTGAACTGGATATCCACACTGCCAGTTCTTTGGGAAGACAGTGACTCCTAGACATCCTCCAAGGATGGGAAATAGGACCATGTCACAGCAACTTCTAGCCTGCTGCTGGGAGTTGTCTCAGAAGAGCCTTCCACAGATGGGTAGGGAGCAGGGTGTTCTCTGCCCCCCCCCACTCCAGGGGGAAGTCAGGGTCCTGACCTCACTCCTCCTCTCTTCCAACAGGCTGCTGGTCAGCGCCTCCCAGGATGGGAAGCTCATCATCTGGGACAGCTATACCACCAACAAGGTAGAGGTGGTTCCTGTGGCCAGTGGGTTGAGCTGTGGGCCCAGGCTGGCTCTGACCCTGGGCACTGCCCCTCCTCCCTAGGTCCATGCTATCCCGTTGCGCTCCTCCTGGGTCATGACCTGTGCCTACGCACCCTCAGGGAACTTTGTGGCCTGTGGGGGGTTGGACAACATCTGCTCCATCTACAGCCTCAAGACCCGTGAGGGCAATGTCAGGGTCAGCCGGGAGCTGCCTGGCCACACTGGTGAGAGAGGCCTGGCAGGGCTTGGGTGCTGTTTGTGGGGGGAGGGGCTGTGCTGCCCTCCCTTAGAGACCCGGCTGACCAGCCCCTTTCCCCAGGGTATCTGTCGTGCTGCCGCTTCCTGGATGACAACCAAATCATCACCAGCTCTGGCGATACCACCTGGTGAGGCTCAGCTAGCGCTAGGCACTAGGGGCTCACCCATACTTCCTGACTCTGCCTCAGTGCTCAGCACATAGTGCACCCCTGTGCAAGAGCAGAACCCCTCTTCTGAACACCTCAATCCCCTCTCCTGTGGGCAAGAGAAAGAGGGCAGAGGGGATCCCACCCCCATCTGGGACAAGATCGGGGTTGTGACCTAGGGATTCCTTGCACCCTTTCCATAGCAGCTCTCTGTTGTGCTTATGCAGTGAAGGGGTAGACACAGGGAATCTGTCCTAATCCCTTTATACCTTCTTCCTGTTACCTCTCTAGTGCTCTGTGGGACATTGAGACAGGTCAGCAGACGGTGGGTTTTGCTGGACACAGCGGGGACGTGATGTCCCTGTCACTGGCCCCCGATGGCCGCACCTTTGTGTCAGGTGCCTGCGATGCCTCTATCAAGCTGTGGGACGTACGGGATTCCATGTGCCGACAGACCTTCATCGGCCATGAATCTGACATCAACGCCGTGGCCGTAAGTCCTGGGGTGAGCTGGGCGGGCCTGCCTGCATCAGGCTTTCAGCCCTGCCCCTAGCCCTCAGCCCACTCTGCCTGTCTTGCAGTTCTTCCCTAATGGCTACGCCTTCACCACGGGCTCTGATGATGCCACGTGCCGCCTCTTCGACCTGAGGGCAGACCAGGAGCTCCTCATGTATTCCCACGACAACATCATCTGTGGCATCACCTCTGTTGCCTTCTCGCGCAGTGGCCGGCTGCTGCTCGCTGGTTATGACGACTTCAACTGCAACATCTGGGATGCCATGAAGGGTGATCGTGCAGGTGAGAGCCGAGTGCTGATGTAGGGTAGGCAGGGACTGGGAATGCAGGCAGATGCGTTCTGATGGAGCCCTCTCTCACAGGTGTCCTCGCTGGCCATGACAACCGTGTGAGCTGCCTCGGGGTCACTGACGATGGCATGGCTGTGGCCACAGGCTCCTGGGACTCCTTCCTCAAGATCTGGAACTAATAACAGCCCCAACCCCAACTGGGCCCAGGCCAGGAGGGGTCCTACCCATGCCCACACTACAGGCCGGGAGCTTTGGAGTTGGGTATAATACCAAGCCTCCCTCCCCAGGCCACGGGGCCTTGGGTCCCTGCTCCCCTACCCAGGTTTGGTTCCTCCCGGGGCCCCCACTGTGGAGATAAAGATGGGGATAGAATGGGGAAAAGGAAGGGCAGAAGCCCTCATCCTTTCACTGCCCTGGGGTCAGGGCCTCATCCCTCTGGAGGGCCAGAAGCAGGAGGTAGAAACTCCAGAGGCTGGCTTTTTTAAAAACTGGTTTTATTTTAATTTTTATTATATTTTCAGTTTTTCCATAAAGGAACCAATTCCAACTCTGTACCTGGTCTTTACCCTTGCTTGTGTCTTCCTTATTCCTGGTCTCTGTTCCCAAGGACAGACTGGCTAAGGCCCCACTAAAGTAGGGGCAGCAGAGACAACTCCTGCCCCGCCCTTCCTTAGCCCATAGCTGAAGTCCCAGACAGGCAAGCTGCCTACTGGCAAGGTAGGCTCTCATTGTCCCAGACACTCGTGACCCTCTCGTTCTCCAGTCTTGCCAGGTTGGGCTGGCTGATCAATGCCATCATCCCTTGCCCACAGCTTTCAGTTCCCAGCTCTGCGGCGTCTCCCCTCCCTAGCACCCAATCCCAAGTAAACAGGGCAGAAGCAGAAGGGGAGAACACACCAAGTTTTATTAGGGGAAGGAGGGGGTATTTACAGGGTCTGGTAAAGGGGGGAGTCACATAGGGTGGGGCTGGGAGATTTAGGTACAAGGCAGACAAGGCTAGAGACCTCTGCTTCCACCCCAACCCTGGGAAGGCGGGGAGAGCAGCTGCGACTCAGGAAGAAGGGTCAGGAAAGGACAGTGATGGGTTCTGAGTCCCTGGGCTGGGGAGCTCAGGGGCTTGTAAACATTGACCACTCTCAGAAGGGGATGGGGATGGGAGAGGGCTCCCCCTATACTTCCTCACAGGGTTAAGGCCTCTCCAGGCTCAAGGGCCCCCTAAGTTCAGTCTCTTTAGCTGGGGGGGAAATGGGAAGGAAGAAGACAGGGCAGAGTGTCATCCCCTCCCCTGCATTGGCTGCGGCAGGGGTGGGGCAGTTACATTCAGTCACAACAGTACCCCCCCATACCTCTAATGCCACCAAACACTGGTGTGAGGAAAGGGGGGGGCTGGAGGGCCAGCAGCAGCAAGACATTTCCCCCTGGCCCATCACCCCCTTATTGCTTTAGAGAAAATTGTCTTTTCACGGACACTAACACTGTTGAAACCAGGGAGAAGCAGGTGGAGGCGGCCCCTCCACCCCCGAGGCCAGCTTGATCCCCCAACACTGACCCAGTTGCCACTTTGGTGCAAAAAAAAAAAAAAAAAAGTCAGCTCTGGGGATGAGTGGAGAAAGAAAACTGGGGCCACTCCCCATTTCCCCAGGGCAGGAAGGAGAAATACATTCATGGAGGGGAGGCAGTGGGAGAATCTTGCCCTAATACTGCACTCTAAGCAATGAGGTCAATGGGAGAAGTTAGATGAAAACCCAAAGGTAAAACTTAAAACAAAAAACAACCCAATGGAGACAAACCCAGGTAGGCGATTAGGAATCACAAGTCAGTGAGGAACAGAAGGGCACCCTAACCCGCCACCTTACCTAACATTAAAAATGTTTCAGGGAGCAGGGAGAATCACACCTCCTTTCCCATTTGGTCAGTGGGGGGAGGGGGGGTCAGCATGGAGCTGGGGGGGAGGGGTTTGCATCCCACACAACCAGCTGCAGCGGGGAGCTCCCTTCCAATAGCCCCCCACATTGCAACCGGCAACCCCAAGTGCCCCCCCCACTCCTGAGGCCCTCCAGGCCCCTCCTCTTGCCCCCATTACAGGAGAAACAGTCATCAAGTGGCGCCTCTCCCTCCAGCTCCTGGAGGAACCACCCTGCCCCTACCTTGCTCAGGTTGAGGGGCAAGCAGGGGCTTGTGGCCCAAAGAATACATTCATGTGGCAAGGCAGGGAGGTGGGGTTTTAAGCTTCACACCCAGACCACCCACCACCTCATCCCCCACCTCCCCATGGCAGGGGTGGGAAGCCCCTCACCAGGGCCAGCGTGGAAGTTCTGCTGCTACGACAGCCAGGTGAGGTTGGCACTGGCTGGCAGCCTGGGGAGCCGAGGTGGCTAGGCCTACTTGTGCAACTTCCCCCAGAAGCAGCAAAGCCAAGGGGCTACACTGCCCCCACCCCAACACCTCTGCCAGTCACAGCAATAAGGGGGCCGTTCACAGCGGGTCCGGCCGGCGGGGCTGAGGGGGCCTCGCTGTGCAAACTGCTAGCACCCCAGCTTCCAGTTACCCCAATGGCCCACCTTGCTTGCTGGGCAGGTAAGTGCAGCCTCGGGAGCCAGGCAGGACAGGTCTGTGGGGCCTGTATCCCCAAATGCCCCAAAATAACAGTGTGTTTTTTTCTTTCAGTCTCCTAACTTTTTTTTTTCATATTTTTCTTTTTTTTTCTTAAAAAAAAAAACAAAACGAAACAAACTCTTCTGTGGACCTTTCACCATCACCCTCATCTCCAGAAGGAGAGAAGAGGTGCTTAGCGTCTAGTTTTTAAAGATTTCTTCTGTCTCCTAACATTTTCTTCAATGTTTAAAATTTTTTAAAAAAGGAAAAAAAAAAAAAAAAACCCTTCCCCCCCAATCTGTAAAGTGCCTCGTGGTGGGTGAGTTAAGGTGCATCGTGTGGTTTGTAACAAGTGCTGGGGACCCTGCCCCTGCTTCCTCCTATGCTCCTTCTGGGGAGCTGGCAGGTCGGGGACCCAAGGGTCCAAGCCGCTGCTGCTGCCACCCTGGGCCTATAGCCTAGGGGCTGGTGGGACAGGCTGGTCAGTAGTCATCCACGCTCTCGATCTCACCAGAAGGTCCGTGCAGGGAGTACCCTGAAGCCGGGAGAAGCTGGGTTTAAGCTCTCACCCAGGCTCTGGGCTCCTCCTCTTTGGGTCCCCACCCCCACTTACCCAAGATGCTGGGGTCTGAGTGCAGCATTAGTGCCCGCCTCTTGGCCTTGCTGCCCTCCCCAGGGCCGAGTTTGGTGCTATGGTTGGTCTGAAAGGCTGTCTGCAGGGAACCACTGCTCAGCCAAGCCTCCTGCAAGGAGAGAGGAGAGGAAAGTCAGGAGGGTGCTGGGTCACCTCCTCCAACCTGCCAGGGCGCTGGGAACCTTACCTGCTGCTGCTGCCGCTGCTGGCTAGCTTTCTGCTTGGCTCTCCGCTCCAGAAATTGTTTGGCAAATTCTTTGGCTTCCAGCGTGTCCCCCAGGCAAGAACGGATATAATCATGGACATCATAGGGGGACTCTACCTCCTTGAGGTTCGCCACAGCCATGGGCACTATGGGGTAAGGTGGAGGTGGTCAGGGCAGATCCGGAGCATTTGGGCCAGCCCCACACCCAGGGTTTATAGCTTGTACCATCCAGGCTGCCCGTGGTGCTCAGGGTGTGCAGCATCTGCTCACACCACTGAGTGAAGCCATCCTGGGGCCTGGGGATGCCCTGTAGCAGCTTCAGCAGTTTCTCTTCCTCCTCTGTCTTTTTGCGCACAGGCCGACCTGACAGGTGGCTATACGAGTCGCTGGGGTGGGAATGGGGGGGTGCATCAGAGAAAACAAATCAGCTCAGGAGTCCACATCCTTCCACCCCATCCTAGTCCAGACCCTGAAGGCCTGGCACCCACCTGAGAGAGGGGCTGCTCCGGCTGTTCTTCAGGCCCAGGCTGCGAGCCAGGCTCCCGCCACTCTTGAGGGTGTCCTCCCAGAGCCCCAGGCTGCTGCTGCTGCCCCCACTCTTGTCAGGCCCGCCCCACAGCGGCCCGGCCTCAGATACCCACTGGTTCAGGGGGGCAGTACCCAGGCCCCCAAGCTGCTATAGATGGCAGGGAGTTAGGGTGGCCCAAATAGGGACACCCATACACCCAAGAAAAAAAGCTAAGTGGAGAGGTTCACTTAGGTGGCATAGAATGGCACACATGAGAAATCCTTTAGGGTCAGTAATGAACCAGCTGGAAGTCTGGGCCCAATGATGCCCTACTTCCCAATCACCCCGAACACTTAACTGGAAAGAGTTCCCAAAACCCAAAAGATGTCCGTCAACTGGGGAGGGGCCCATTCTACTCACCACTCGGTGGTTGGGGGCCTGGGTCCGGGCTGGCTCCCGAGGTGGGGGCTGCTTATGCAGCTGCCGCTCACCCTCCAACTGCAGCTCAAGCAGCGTCTTCATGGAGAGGCCTTGCTTGGCTAGGCCAGCCCACAGCGGGGGTGGAGAGCTGGGCGCAGGGGGCACAGGAACAGCAGCTACTGCTTGCTGCTGCTGTATCAGCTTCAGCAGGAGCTCCTGCTGCCGCACCTGAGCCGAGAGACATGATGAGAGCAGGCAATAGGGCTCCCCACACTGGCCTGGGGCTCGACAGGGCACCCACCTGCTTGCGCCGAAACAACTCCTCCTCTTCCTGTCGCCGCTTCTGTTCCTCCTGTTGCTGGCGACGCTTCTCCTCCCGGCGCTTGCGCTCTTCCTCCTCCCGCTTGGCCCTGAGCTCCACTTCTCTGCGTTCTTGAAACTGACATTGGCGATGGGGTCAGACCTCAGACATGGGCACAACTGGTCTGTCCCACCTCAGCCTGGCCCTTGGTACCCAAGGATCTATACTCACTTTGTGTTGCAGCTGGAGTTGTTCTAGAATTGGACCCTGAGTCGAAGAGTTAATTGGTATGTCCCAAAGACTGGCCTCACCGCCTGCAGGAGGCAAAGGCAGCTGGAGGAGGGAGCTCAGGCCCCGGGGCTGGAGGAGCATGAGAGGAGCAGACTATAGCTCCCAACTTGCCCGAACTGCCAGGGAAGGTGCAAGGAACAGCTGAGACAGGGCTGGGAGCACTGGGACTCGACCAAGTGGTGGCACACCTGACTGTGATGAGGCTGAGGTATGTATGTCCCAGAGAGGGCTTGAATCCGGCACCGACAAGGAGCGGTTCATCGTGGGGAGCAGGTTCTGGTCCCCACCTCTGAGAAGCAAAGCATTGATTCTTAGCACCCCAAATCCCTTTCTGGTCTGCCCCATTTCCCCTTCACACATCCTGAGGGCTGGCTTGTACACACATGCCACCAAGTGAAACCTGTGACAGATGGAGCAGCCCACAGACCTGGGGGGTTTGAGAGCTTGGAGCTGCTGCAGGAAAGCGGTGAGCTGCTGCTGCTGTGGCGGTGTCAGGTCCCCCAGGGCCGCCTTTTCCCGGAGTGCACACTGCGGGAGCTGGCGGCTATGGAGAAAGTCATTGGGGGTGGGGGGGGGGTGGCCAGCCACAAGGCCAGGACCCAGCTTACAAGTCCCTTGAGTTCCCCATTACCTGTTGACCAACTGAAGAAACTGCTGGTGCTGCAGCTGTTGGTACAAAGCAGCTGCTGCTAGCTCCTGTTGCTTCTTCAGCCGCTCCTGGTCCATGTTTCCCTGAGTGAGGTCAACACAATTCCACAGCTTTGACCTTGTCTTCCTCTGCATCACTTGTTGCCCCCTGCCAAGCTCCCGCGTCCCCTCCTTGTGCCTCAAAAGGGGTATGCTCACCAGCAGTGGGGGTGGTGAGGGCCCTGGGGCAAAGGGCACACGACCCCACATCTTGATCACCTCACCCAAGGGCTGGAAGCCTTCATCACAGCCCCGCTTCACCAGCAAGGCCATGGAGAAATAGCCCGCCTGGAACCACTCTGCCATCTCCTGCGTGGTGAAGGGGCCTAGCCCAACAGAGGGAGACTGGTCAGAGGTGCCCCGCAGAAACTCTGAACAAGAATGGTGGTGTCCCAATGCCACCCACTCTCTACAGGTACCTTGGATCTCTCCTTGTGGATCTTTGTAGAACCACTTCCGGGCTGCACCATGGCTGAGGGGGAGGGCAGTGGCAGCTGCAGAGTGGCGCAGGCCCTGGGCCTGCATGGCAGCTGTGAACTGCTCCTCCTCCAGGGAGCTGTCCTGCAGGGAGGCCACCAGCTTCTCTGCCTCCTGAGAGCCCAGAGAGAGATGGAAGGCTCAACTGCTGAACCACAGCAACATCAGGCTGGGGTAGGTTCAGGTCACAGGGTGGGATTGGTAGGGACACGTGAAATGGTGGCTTTTTGTTCCCTGACAAGGAAGAATCCTAGAGCTTCCTAGGCACCCCACACCTGCTGCAGGTGCTTTAAGCCTTCATCGTCTTCCAGATCTCCAGGAGGGCCAGGGGGTGAGCCTACCCCGGGGCTCAGCTGCATTCCCCTCCTATCATCTCCTAGGAGTAAAGGAAAGATGATGAACTAGGAGGTCCAGAGAAGGAAGGGGAGTCTCTATCCACCCTCATTCCAGAAAAATGGCTCTAAAGCTAGCTCTTCCCACCTGCACGCCCCCTGCCCATAGGGAGCCTTCTTTCACCACCCTCGCTACCTTCAGCTGCCTGCAGGTCTTTCTCCAAAGCATCAGCACTTTCCCCGTTGGCACCCCAGAGTGGGCCCAAGGTGGGCAGTGGGGATGAGGAGCTGGACTTCTCCTCCTGAGAGGGCAGTGGAGTCAGCTCCTTCCCACCTGCAAGAGAAGGGGAATTAACAGAATTCAAAACCAAGGAGTTAAGCTTATTTCTTTAAAAGAAATTATTTTTGTAGAGAACTGGGGTGCAGGCCAGAGATGCAGGGGATGAGGGGATTCACAGGCAAGAGTGGGGAGCAGAACAAACAGATCTACTGAAATACATGGCTAAGGGGAAAGAGGTCTGCTGTGCCCTGTGTGGGCCAGGTCCCTGCCAGGGACGGAACTCAGGCCCTGATGGTGGTGACGGTGCTGAGCCTGAAACCCTAGGCCATCAGGGAGGCTCAGAATTGTAAAGTTTTAAAAGTGACTTTGCACAAATGCTGTCTATGACCAGAACCTGGACCTCTGAATACTGAACTTACCACTTAACTCTGGCCTCTGCCAACACCCGCATGCTGGCACCACACTTCCTCTGCACGCCTAACTCTTTTGCCCTGCAGTATTGGTTGGCTCTGCACATTGTTTCACCACATATCTGATCCTGTTCCCTTTAAGATGGCTTTACTGGTTGGGGAGCCCTCCCCAAACTGTGCACTGTCTTCTCCTGAACCTCTCAGCAGCCTGGAAAGGAGCCCTCTGTCTGTCTGGCCCAGCACTAGGGGCTCGGGCCTCCTTGGCTCTCCCTGCAGGCTTACCTGCCTCAGGCCCCTCCTCATCCAGCCCTTCGCCAGGCTCCTCTTCCTCTTCCTCCAGACCCTGGAAGTCCAGCTCCTGCTCCTCAGGTATGGGTTCCTTGGGACCCTTCTACATGGGATTTAGGTATGCGACAGGAGGTTGGAGAGGGATGGGGGTGGGGCAAAAGGACCCAATTAGGGTATTTTCCCGCCAACCTCCAACAGAATTTCCCCCTTGATTCCTCACAGATACCTTGAGAGGCAAGAAGGCCCCAGAGGCATCAAAGGTGCCCATTTCTTCATCCTCATCGTTCAGGCACCACTCCGGGAGCCCATCCTTGTCATCCTCAAAACCGTCAGGCCCTCGGCACCTCCGGAGGTGAGAGCTGCCTCCCCCACCTCGCCCCTCCTCTTCACCACACCCTCCTCGATCCCCTCGCAAATCAAATTCAAATTTGCGACGCCGGTCCCCATGTTCCCGCCAGCCAGCAGAGCGGGGGCCGCCATCTAAGCAGGAAAAGTTGGAGGAGGAGAATCAGTATTCCTGTCAGGCCAGTCTCTATTCTTCTGCTGCCCATAGGAAGCCCTGGAAATGTAACTTCCAGGACTATTCTCTCACCCACCCTAACTCCCAGAAACTGTCCTCTCCACTTGTAAGGGAGCCCACCCTTGTGGGAAGTTCCTGTTGCCACCACCCCACACATTCCCACCTGGCCCCAGCCTCACCAGGGCTAGCTGAGCGCCAGCGGTCACCATCTCGTCGGGGTCCTGCCCCAAGTCTCCAGCTTCCTTCCTCTTCTTCCTCTTGCTCCTCTCGGAGAGAACGCCAGTTCTCGCTATCTGAGCGGGCATGTTCCTTCCTCGAGCCAGCCCCTCCCTCCTCAAACCCGGAGCGTGCTTGGAGGTGGGGGAAGACAAGAGTCAGCAGAATGGCAGCCACAGTCCCTAGAAGACTCTTACTATAAACCCTGCTGGTAAAACAGGAGTCCAGCTCCGGGCCCTCTAGTGCTCACCCCTCCCCAGCAAACCAGGGTTGCCCACTTAAGTCCTACCCCCATCTCAATGACCCAGGCCATGGCCACCACCTTCACCACTCTTCATACCTCCTTCCCTCCTTGCTGACTTCTCAAACCGCCTCTCGCCTCTGCAGGAGGGAAAGGGGTTGGTCAGAGAGCAGCTTCCCCTCCTCAACCTACTGCATTTCTACAAACCTTTCCACTCTAGCCTAAGGCTGGTGGGAGGAGGTGGGATGGGAAGAATTAGGGAAAAGTCAGGTCTGGGAAGGGAGGCCAAGATGATAAACAGAAAAGGTAACAACAGACAAGTACCAAGGAGAAGGAAAGGGCAGAACCACAGGGGCTGGAAGCACAGAATTTTTGGACCAGGGTTTATTCAGGGGTCAATGTCCAGTCAGTGTCTAACAATGACAAGACCCAAGCCTCCCACCGTGGGGCCTTGCTCTGTCTCTGTGCCATCACCTCCGGCCCACACCTGTCATCCCAACTCTGGCTGCGCTGGATCTCCCGGGGGTTTCGTCCAAAGGTTCCATCTCCTTCTTCAATGCTTCTTTGGTAAAAGGAACTGTCGCCGCGGCCACGGCCTAAAAAATGGATTAATGCACTTGAGAAATGTGCCAGATCCTCTCTGTACCCTCAAGACCATGGCCCCACTTGGCCCTTTCCCAGCACCCACCATCAACCCCTCTACCTCGGCTCCGAGTGCTGCCCCTGCCACGGGAGGTTCCACCTCCAAGGGGGGGGCCAGCCCCTTTCCCCATCAGCCTCAGCACGGCCACACTGTTCACGGACAGGGAGAAGTTTCTCTGAGGAGGGAGCCAGGGGTGGGTGTGAGGACCCAGGTACCCAACCCTGTCCACCCCCCCCCCCAACCTCCACCAGAACCTTCCCAACATCAGCCCCTCCCGACAAGATGGAGACCAGCATCCTCACAGCAGCTGCCTGGCCTGGTCCCACCCCACCTGCTCCTCCTCTGTTAAGGGTTCCAGTGCCAAAGGCTGCAGTGGTTCCTCCTGTAGTACCGCGGCAAACTCCTTGTCCTGCAGCTCATCAGGGACCTGTCGAAAAGTGGAGGGCCCAGCTACCACACACTCCTGGTTCCCTTCATCGGCTGAAGCCAAGTGGAGACTGGGCCATACATCCCACCACACCTGTCCCACCTTGTTCTCCTTGACATAAAGGGCCAGCATCTCTTCTCGCCCATAGCGGTAGTCAGCTAGCTTGTATTTGGGCATGGCAGGAGAAGGGGGTGGGGAGGCCACGCTGCTACCACTGGAAAGGGCCCTCAGCCTAGAACAGGGAGGAAAGTGACAAAGAGACAGGAGCCTATGTGGCCCCATTTCCCCCAGCTTTTCCAAGCCACCCAAAGTGATCAGACTTACCACTCTGGCCCAAAGTTGAGGGTCTCTGCTGCCATTGCGGAGCTGGAGGTATCCTAGAGGTCAGAGGGAATGAGCAGCGGGGCACCTGGCGTTCACGCTCCAAACACCTGTGGAGGCACAAGGCCACTGGGCCTCGGAGGCAGCACACACAGAGAACCTTGAGGAGGGGCAACAGTGCCCAGCTTGGCAGGCACAGTGATGGGCTCTAAAAGGACTCACCTAAGCCAGCCACGTGGCCACTCCCACCATGAGTTAACCAAAAAGGAGTGTTGATGAGCAGAAACCTGGGGAGGGGAGAAAAATAGGGCAGCTAGGGTCCCTTCCAGCTCCTGCAGGGGAGGCCCCCTTCACCCCAGACTCACCTGGCAGCCTTGCCTGGAGAAGCAGGGTGGGCGAGGCAGGTGCTTCAGGCAGGGGCCTATGCTAGAATGAACCAGGGTCCGCAAGCCACTCGATGAAGCTTTGACCACAATGGTGCCTGGGAAAGGGCCTTCACATCGGGGAAATATCCTTAAGAAGCAGTGAGGATAAGAGAGTGGGATGAAATTAAGGGTCAGGTAGGCTTCCTTGTCTCAGCCCTCTTCCCTGCAGAACTGGGAGTCCCACTGCTGCCTGGAGGTTGAAGGTTAGCACAGGAGACCATAGCCCCTGCTCCTCATTTCTGTCCCCCAAGTCTGACCTCTTGAGCAGTTAACTCATTCAACAGAGCCTGACCCAGATGGGGGAAGTGCCTCAGAGAATATGCCAGGCACCTGTTCCAGGCCTCTGCATGAGCAATGTGTGGCACAGGCCAGGGAAGTGAGTAAGATATACAGAGATTATCAGGACAAAAACAAGAAACAGAAGCAAACAAACAAAAAAACCCACGGGAGCCACAAGTATCCTAAAGAAAGAAAAGGTAAGTTAGAGAAAAAAGGATTAGAAAGTAATCTAGGAGCAAAAGTACTTCCCTCCTAAAAACCTTAGAGTGGCTACTCAGCAAGCCAATACATGGGGAGCAGGGAGGCTATTCCAGGGACGGGGTGAAGAACTGTGAAGACGGCAGGCAGACAAGTTTGGGCCAGTGCACCCAAGGGCTGGTTTACCAAACAGGAATCAACACCCAGGCTCCTTCCCAAGGATCAGGAAGAGCCTGACCGCAAATAAAAGTCAAGAAAGCAATCAGTTTACTAGAATACAAGCTAGGTCCCCTCACCATAAAGTAGAAGTAAGGGCAGAGTTACGAGGCTGGCAGAAGCAGCGGCAGCAGCGACAGTGACCTGTCCCTCTAAGGAACAGCGGAGGGGATTCTCAGGAGGCGGCGCATCCCTGGTGGATCCGAGCAGAGGACGGGCAGGCAGGGTTGCAGGGAGGTGCACAGGGGGCTTCCCTCACTGGCTGGGGGGGAGGCTGGACCGGAGCGCCTCTAGAGTTCCCATCAACTCCAAGACTCCACAACTCTGGGAAGGAAGGAGGAAGAAGGGTTTCTACTGGAGGAGCCAAGGGAAGAGGCTCTCACCTACAGCTGTAGACCGGGAGGTGAAGCAAAACTCCATGACAGAGGACCCTTTCCCAGAATACCAGCATCCTAGGGCAAAACACATCTTTTGAGACCAACCAGAGTGGGGCTGACCCCCCTGTCTCAGCTGGACATTTTCTGGTGACAGACAATGCTATGACACATAGGCCATCAGGAGACAGGTCTGTTGCAAAGTTACTCCTCTCACTGAATTCAAGGAGGACTCTCCCAAGACAGTAAGATTAATTCTGTACCACAAACCTTCTGTAATTTGGTCAATGGGTGAAGAATCTTGAAGATATGCTGGTAAAACAATGTGCTTCAGCATCAAAGGTACCTCTATTAACAGAAGCAGGACAAATATTGCTGATTCCTCCCCCATAGGAGATGCCAGATGAGCCAAATTCAGAGAGGCAGAAAAACAGAATGGTGGGTGCCAGAGCTGGGGAGCTGGTTTTCACTGGGCAGTTTCAGTTGGGGCAGTTTCAAGTTTTGGGACGGGATGGTGGTGATGGTGGCTCAACGATATGAATGTGTTTAACACTGCAGAACTATGTACTAGACATACTAAAATGTTCTACACTGTGTCAATTTTATCACAATTTAAAAAAGTTTTAAGGTAAAAACCTATTAAGGATACCTATCATGTAACAAAGTTCTCCCCACTCCACAAAAACACCCTGCATTCCTTCAAACAAACCTCAGGAGAGGCTGTTCTGGGCTTCCTCCAGAAGAGCCCCTGTCCTTTTAGGAGACAGGCGAGTTTGGCAGGCCTGGAAGGGAGAGGGGAGAGGGGAGAACTCACCCTCCCACCCTTCCAGGGAAGGGCAAAGCTGGCTCTCCTTGCTGCTGTCCACTTCTGGTCTTCACTGGTCTGTCCTGGTTATAAGGAACAAACCCCAGGAAAGTGACTCCAGTGAGAAGCAGGGAAACTGCAGAGGCAAGGGAAACATAGTCAGGGAGAAGAGGAGAGTGCAAGAAAAGGCCCAGGTCTTAGGGAACAGTTAGAGAAAAAGGGTCAAAACTCTGGGTCCAGTCAAAGGATGACCTGACCCCAGAACGTGGTGGCTGCCTTGTCCATCCTCAGATTAAAGGAGGCATCACTAAGCAGCACAAATGCTGCCTAGTTTCCACTCCTCTGAACATATGCATTTCTTTTCCACATGCTATCTAGAAGCCTACAGTTCAAAATTGGAGGTGGTATGGCTCTCCCAGGGCATTTGGCATTCTGGCATCGGGATCCAAGGGTTTCCTTCTCAAGGCTCATTCTAGTTTACCTCCCACTCCCCAGGCCCTGCCCTCAGTACTTTCTGCTTCATCTTTCCCAACCTCATCTTCTCTGTTTCAGACCTCAGAATACCCTCACTCCTATGGAATCTAATTATTGCTATCAAAAGACTGCCCCCTGCTGGAATTAGGGGGAGAGGACACACTGGTTCTGGGAGTTTACACCAGACTTGAAGACCAGGAGGGAAGCTTGCTCTCTGGGGTTCAGATTCTTGGATGAAAGAAAAGCTCCAAAGAGGTAGTCCTAGTATGCATCCGGTTCAAAACATTATTTCCTCATTCCATCACTCCTAAGGTTAGCCCCAATCCAGTGCAATGTGCTTTGGCATCAAAGGTACCTCTAGTAACGGAAGCAGAACCCCCAACTCTCCAACATTTGACTAACTGCCCAGTCCCCCGCCTGTTGGAGGCGACTCCATCCTTTCATGTGGTAGCATGAGGAACTCCAGGCTTGAAAAGAGGTGCAAGCCTGTGTTCTTCCTGGCTGGTCAGTTACCCCAACTCCCTACATACTCTGAGCCATCAGGACAAATAATGCCACTTGGCATTTCTCTACTAGTTAACCGTTTCAAAGCAGTTTCACACTTTACCTCATGTGATCCCTTCAGCCCACTTGCCTTGCCTTACTTCCAGTCAGAGAAAACAAGGGAGGGAGTGGCTGCCCAGACAGGGTACCCCAATATTCCTACACTCTGAGAATGGAGAAGGGCACACCACCAGCAGTAACCACTCCAAACTCTCAAGGGTATTCTGTGAATTATAAACCATTTTAAATTTCTCGTTGTAATTTTTAAAAATCCTTCACGTGGACATCTCCTTTCCTTCCACCTTCTCTGCTTTAATGTGGGGCTTTGTTTTTCTATCCTGAACACTAACCACAGACCTAGGTGAAAACAAGCCAGTGTCTTTTTGTCCATCAAATCACACATAAAATACTAACTCAGTCACTGGCTGAAAACATCAGGTGAGAGGGTGTAGGCACCTTTCACTTAAAGGTAGCTGTCACGTGAGACCCTTGAAGCAACACAAAGTCCAAATATACACCAAACCCAATTACTCGACAGGTTACAGGAGAACAAGACCAACAATCTCAAATAAAAGTGCAGACCGGTGGCCTGCAACTGCAGGGGGCACAGCACAGACAAAGAAGCCAGGGGACAGAACCCACAACTGGGAGCAGGAGAGGGCAGAGGGGACGGCCCTGGTGTACCCACTGGTGTCTCAGTTGCAGCTGGACAGGATGGGGGGCCAAGCTGCAACAGGCCTATGAGCTGGGGGAAAGCAGAGAGGCTGTGTAGAGGCTGGTGAGCTCTGGGAAAGCAGTACCCCGAGAAGCAAGGGACTAAGACAGGGTGGGTGGACGAAAGAAGCGGCCCACAAGTGTTTATTTGGCATTTCCCAGGGCCAGCGCTGTGATGGACCACACCAAGAAGCTTGCTGGGAATTGGTTACCACGGGGTGAGAGGTTGGCACGAGTCTCTTGGAAGTTAACTTGAAAAAAGGGTTGTGGCCCAGGAACTGCTGCTTGAGGGGAGATGGGCTCGGGAGGGCCCGGCCAGGCGACAGGGGAGACTTTAGTGTTTGACCGGGCCGCCGGGCACACGGGAGGAAGGAGACCCCAATGACCAAGCACTAACGCCGGTCGCTGAAAGGAGATTTAGGTGAAGAGCCAGCTGAGGTAGTCCGGTTGCGAGAAGGCTTTCTTGTTAGCCAAAGTCGCGGAACGCTCGGGTTTGGAGACCCGCAGGGCCCGGCGAACTGCGACCCGCACCCGGAGGCACGCTGGGGAAACCTGCGGGGGGTGCAGGGCATTGGGGTCGGCGCCTCAGGCGGGCCCGCGGAGGGTGCGGGCGGGAAGGTGGGAGTAGCCCGCCAGAGCACGGATTCTCGGGGACCGGAGGAGCGACCGTTAGGAGCGCGGGGGTGGGAAGGCGGCGGGCTGGCCCCGGAGGACGACGTGCCCTTCAGGAAGGGGGCGCCAGGTGCGTGGGGCAAGGGCCCCCCAGCAACGAGCTGGCCTCCCGCCGGGGCCGCGC